AATCACCTGTAAAACAGCGTGAGAGTAGCTCAAAAGCTGGTACTAGAGTGAAACCAGGGAGATCGTTCAAGATTGACTTCGAAATTGGACGTCTATCCATGTCTTGCAGATGTCGGGAAATGCCTTCAAAATGGCCACTATGGGCAACAGTGAGCGCTATTACCTTGTCGTTTTTGGTTTTGCTAGGGCGTTGTTGACTGGGATGGGGATGGGCGTAATCCCATGACTCTGGATCAGAAGGTTCTGTGTTCGATCCCAGTGGTGGACACTGTTTTTTTTATTGTTTCATTTTAACTCTATCCCAAACCTTAACCCTTACCTTAACCATTCGGAATGAGTGCCTAAACTTAATCCTTCTGATTTTGACGTTTGAAGAAATGGACCAATACAGAACAGCAGGAGCAACGCAAGGTGTCAAAAGCACTTAGAAATTTGACGTTTGGAGAAACGTGGATAAATGTCTAATTCTGCAGTGAGACTGCGAGACCTTGAGTGAAATATGCTTTTGTAAGCCCAGTTTTGATGGCTACGATTAAAAAGAGCTAATATTTTTATTTATCTCAATCTCAACTGGTAATTAAAGCGCGCCTCCCTTTCGTCATTTAAGTGCATAGGCTATAGTCAACGGTAGGCAGGCTATCAGCGTGTCACCCACCACTTTGCAATGTTAACTTGAGGCAGTATGATTGTTTGAAACCTGAACGTTTTACTTTACTTCAAATAATGAGGCATGTTTTACCTTGCTTCAAAATAGCCTAGTAGCCAAAATCCATCCATAGAAACGTGGAGGCAATTATTTTGACTTCCTCATACTATTAACCAGCATTTCTCTCCTGTTCTATTGGTTTTCATATCAACTTTCTTTTGTTGTCCAGAAGCCAGAGGCCATCCTAGTTGTTGCTATTAGAGTCCCCCTCGTTCTATGTTTCTAACTGAGATTTTCATCTGTCACATATGGAACCGCTAGCATTAGGTGCGCTGTTTAGAACAGGGTTTTCCCGCAAATTGCATTTGAAAATTACGTTTTGTTAGCTGCTTCATTACAGGAGTTTCATGTTAAATAATAGGCTATAGCCTTTTGACTGAAAGACGATAGGTTTGCTATTGTTGCATGTTTCTCTTAATTAAAAATGTCAGTTCCTTGTATGCATGCATAGAATTTTCTGTTAGTCACATCATTTTACTGTCTGGATTTTTTTTTACCGGTTAATGAGGGTCGGTTAGTCCGCAGCAAAATTGATCGAAATGTGCATCCCTTCTTCAGGTGTAAAGCCCAGCGTTCACTTCTAAACAGTAGAAACAGATACAAGAAGCCTTTGACTTTTACTCAAGTTCTTGTTATATTAAATCTTCGGCCCATGCATAATGCACTGTGAGATTTGTAGAGCGTCTGGGCTCTGACAAGGCTGCTACTTTACCACTATCTTGATCGCCACTTGCTGTATCAGTTCTATCCACATGTTGTATTTTGTGTGTCATCTGTATAACTGTATCTGCCAATTAGTCTGCATTATCATAGTGATGTAGCAAAACAGTTTTTCCCACAAAACAATTCCAACAAATGCAACCCTGTGGTTTACACAGCAGTTAACCATTTGAGTCCGTCAGATTATAAGTGGGTATAGCCTTTAGATATACACTATTGCTTTAACTTCCATGCTTTAAGTTCCATACAATCTTCTCTCAATTTATATTGAATTTCAGCTGAATGACTTGCAAGACCATGTCTATCCAGTGTTCTGCCAATCCCCCACCACCAACCCAAAACACATTGTACCTGCTGTTAATTGTTTCCATAAGGACATGTGGCCACGCAAGAAAATACATGTTTTTAAAGTTTTTCAAAAGAAACCATGACCTTATTTGTTTTGGCAGTCCTCCTGTAGACGTTCAACAAGTTTCTGTGTTGCCCTGACACATGAACTTGCTTAGATATATTCAACATTTTCTCTTGGCTGGCAAAGTGCGAGAGACGAAGCATAAACATTTGTTCTTTGGACACCATGTGAGGATTCTGCACCTCACCGACTGTCTGTTTCAAACAAACGGACGCCTTGCTGACAAAATCAATAAACTTGGGTATGCTCTGATGCAGTCACCACCCCTTCTTTCTGGTGTGGAAGAATTGCCCCCTCATCTCTATGTATTCCCTGTAGTGTAACTGTCTGCTCCCCATCGTTCAGACCCCTTTTCACCTTCTTCACTTTGTCATTTACCGTCATTTTTTTTATTTTACTCTCTGTTTCTGTTGGACCAAACCAGTCACACTATTCGTTCTTCTATTAAAATGAGAGATCTATTTGTTTTACACAGGTTAGATCCACCATGTCCTATTTCAATTGTAAGCACATTAAATACTCTGTCATGGAAGACAAGACATGTGGTGGGAAGGGAAGAGCAAGTTAGTTTGTATAGGCTGTGATGCCTCCTGAGAAACTGCTTTTGGTCGTCAAGTTGCCAGTGCAGGCACTTCCACAACCTCAGCAATAAATATACTGAACAAAAATATAAACGCAACATGGTTTCATGAGTTGAAATAAAACATCCCAGAAGTTTTCCATATGCACAAAAAGCTTATTTCTCTCCAATTTGTTTACATCCCTGTTAGTGAGCATTTCTCCATTGCCAAGATAATCCATCCACCTGACAGGTGTGGCATATCAAGAAGCTGGTTAAAGAGCATGATCATTACACAGGTGCACCTTGTCCTGGGGACAATAAAAAGGCAACTCTACAATGTGCAGTTTTGTCACACAACACACTGCCACAGATGTCTCAAGTTTTGAGGGAGTGTGCAATTGGCATGCTGACTGCAGGAATGTCCACCAAAGCTGTTGCCAGATAATTTAATGTTAATTTCTCTACCATAAGCTGCCTCCATTGTTGTTTTAGAGAAAGTGGCAGTACGTCCAACTGGCCTCACAACCGTAGACCACTTGTAACCACGCCAGCCCAGGACCTCCACATCCGGCTTCTTCACCTGCGGGATCATCTAAGACCAGCCACCCGGACAGCTAATGAAACTGAGGAGTATTTCTGTCTGTAATAAAGCCCTTTTGTGGGGAAAAACTCATTCTGATTGGCTGGGCCTGGCTCTTCAGTGGGTGGGCTTATGCCCTCCCAGTTATGTCAAATCCATAGATTAGGGCATTATGAATTTATTTCAATTGACTGATTTCCTTATATAAACTGTAATTCAGTAACATCTTTGAAATTGTTGCATGTTGTGTTAATATTTTTGTTCAGTATAGATAATTAACATGAGTGAATCACCAATAGGGTCTGAAGTCTTGGAAATGGTTTTGTTCGCTGGCTTTAAAGAACAAAAATTCAGGTGTTTGTCCAAGGTGTTCAATCGCGGTGGATTGCCCAGCCTACATTTTTTGCCAAACTCGTCTCTGGCGAACTCCAATCCACCAGTGTCTGTGACAGGTGGAAGAGAGATTTCAGTGTGTTTCCAACATCTGGTTTATATTCACAAAAGTAGTTTCCATAATGGTAGCTAGATTTAATCTTTCAAGCTGACTTTAGATAGTTGTTTTCCAGTTGGAAAACACTGAACTCTTTTAAAGGGACACTTCGGGATTTTGGCAATGAAGCCCTTTATCTACTTCCCCAGTCAGATTAACTAATGGATACAATTTTTATGTCCCTTTTAACATATCTCTCACCCATTAGCTAGCTTGCATTAGCATTGATAGTTCTGTCAATTAGCCTACTTGTGCTTAGTTGTTAGCGCCATTTGCTGTATTTGAGTATTATGGCTGCAAACTGAACTAGGGCTGGGCGGTAAACTGTAAAAGACAGTGCCTTGCAAAAGTATTCATTCCCCTTGGCGTTTTTCCTATTTTGTTGCATTACAACCTGTAATTTAAATGGATTTTTATTTGGATTTCATGTAATGGACATACACAAAATAGTCCAAATTGGTGAAGTGAAATGAAAAAAATAACTTGTTTCAAAAAATTCAAAAATAAATAAATAATGGAAAAGTGGTGCGTGCATATGTATGATGAGACTAAAATTGAGCTTTTTGGCCATCAAGGAAAACGCTATGTCTGGCGCAAACCCAACACCTCTCATCACCCCGAGAACACCATCCCCACAGTGAAGCATGGTGGTGGCAGCATCATATTTATGCACGCTCAAGTTTTCTTTCTTTTTTTCTTATTATTTATTGTTTGTTTCACAATAAAACATATTTTGTATCTTCAAAGTGGTAGGCATGTTGTGTAAATCAAATGATACATATCTAGCAGGCAAACATTTAGTTGTGAATTCCATACTGTAACTAGATCACCTGGCGCGTGCTGCACATCAGTGAGTGACTCACAAGGCTCCGGTCTCTCGTCGTTGTGTGCTTGTAAACAAACACCACGTGACTGGGGACTACCGGTAAGCTTCATAATGAAGAATAATGTGGCAGGTGAAATGAAGAACGCAATCTTATTTTTCTCCTAACGTATTACACAAGTTGACTGCAGGTATTTACTTAAAAAGTTACTACAAATATTCAAATGTGTAAATAAAAAAAAACGTTAAATACATAGTCTTGACAGTATTGAAAAACCATCCCGTGGCCATTTCCAAATACCCCGGTATACGGTATATACGCTATATACCGCCCATGCCTATGCACTACCCATAAAGCATATTTAGAACTTGTATTATTCAGAATCATAAAATACCGTCAAATACTGGCATACTGTCAAAAATTAGAAAAATATGATATTTTGGCCTTATCGCCCAGCCCTAAATTGACCTTGGAAGGGCAGAGAGTAAAATCAGCCTTCGCAAAGGACAATGTTTAGGCAGACTTTGCTGAAAGTCTACCGGGTTCGGAATTATCAAAGGCTTTCTAGGAGCTCTACCTATGACACGTAATAGTTTACTTAATGGATAAACTAGTTCAAATATGCATTGCCCTCTTCATTCTTTGGGTAGTGAGATCTTCTCCAATGGTAAATGGGAGGTGCCTTGGGAATAGTACCCTTGTGGGAATGGTGGGTACTAGTCCTCGCCAGACAATCAGAGCAACACCCAGGCGATGTCCTGGGATGGGATCACTCCGTTTCCTGATCTCCAAAGGCTGGGTGGATGTCACCCGGAACACCAGCGCCCTTTCGGTTAAACCTGAGGGTGGGAATGGAAACAGGTCCTCACTGTCCCCTGGTGTCCTCCAGCCCAGCTTTTTCCCCACCAACCCGTCCTGGCTGATGAGGGTGTGGTGTGGATGGGGGCTGACATCATTTAGGTCACCTGTCTTTACATTTACATTTTACATTTTAGTCATTTAGCAGACGCTCTTATCCAGAGCGACTTAGTTAGTGAGTGCATACATTTTTAATACTGGCCCCCCATGGGAATCGAACCCACAACCCTGGCGTTGCAAGCGCCATGCTCTACCAACTGAGCTACAGGAGGATCTCCTCTGATCCCAGTCCAGCATGTTCTCTAACATGTTCTGTACAATGAGGGAGGGGATGTAGCTCAAAGAAATGGCGGAAAATTGGCGTTCACAGCAATGCCGAGCTGGAGATTGGAAACTGAGCTGTTGTAATTACAGGCTGTGGAATAGATGTGGTACCCATTAACCAAAATTGTTGAATCATCAGAAATTGCTCAAGGTTTCTCTGCCATGGTGGTGTCCAAAGAATGTGTCGAACTCTTAGCCCTTCCATAGTTTTATTGTGTTCCAATACCTACAGCAATGATCTGGCGAAATTCTCGTCTGCTTGCGTAAATGCATTTTTGTGCTTTGCTCATCTTTTTTTCTTTTTCTTTGAGAACTTTGGCTAAAAGGCTATAGCCTAGTGTCTGTCTACCACATTTTCATACAAAAGGTAACTTCATTAATTATTCATTTGGAGTCCAAATGACACTGTGGATGATTCATCTGATATATGGAATTCCGACCCTCATTTCATCCTAATTGGTGTGTAGAAACATAGCTAGTATTTATTGAGAAAGCAATTGAGGTCGCTGAGAATCCCTTACTGAGGTTGGCCTAGAATTGTATGCAATTAGAGTGTAGGACAAGAGAGTTTTTACAGAGGTCATGATGTGCTCAGATTTCTACTGAGCTGAAACTAGATCCTGTTGAAATTGAAAATATTGGCTTTTTGCAGCCTTTATATTTAGGCACTATTTAGACAATGCTTCTGTATTTGATTTCTGCATGCCTTAGTAGACTTTTATTCCAAGTAATACATGTAAAACTCCATCAGCTCTTAGGTATTTGAAACATCTGTAATTTTTTTTTTTTTTACTGTACACCAATGTTTTACTCTGAATGTTTTAGTGTCGTTGTTGCTTTTAATGCAATAATACCTTCATCTACTAGCAATGTGCCGCTGTTGTGAAACAGCATCGTTCTCTGTATTCTTCTCTCTCGCCTTCATCTCCTCCCTCCATCCCCTCCATTCTCGACCCCTCCATCTCTCCCTCCATGTATGTTAAATAACATTATTATAACATAGGCTATCTAGGTGTCCAGTGTAGTCCTCACAGTCAGAGCCAGGGGTGATTCAAACAATCCAGTGCTCCACTCGGAGTGCTCCTCGAGAACCCTAATTAAAAAATAATCATGACAACGGCGGGATTATCCCTGCTGCCAGGTTCTTCTGGATCATTAGTTTGGAGAGGGGGAGAGAGCAAGAGGAGGAGCGGTTTGGGAGAGCTCCGCATTTAATAAAGTTCCGTGTGACTCCTTCGGGGCTACCAACTTCCATATGTTCTGAGTGAGCCCCAAGTGGTTCTTTATCAGGAAAAAAGGACTGGGAAAGAAAGAGAGGAAGGGGGAAAGAGAGGGGTGTGGGGTAGGCCTACAATTGCAAGATCCACACTGAAATTGAGGTGTTCTGACAGATTTTTGGTATCGGACAGGGAAAATCCATATGTTAGCAATTTGGTTAGAAGTGAGTATAAGTTCCTTAATCTCACATAGCATCAAGCCCCAGTAGAATATGGTCCATGTAGAATAGTGTGATATTTTGAGGAGATATGTGTTTTATGGGCAGAGGGGGGAGAGAAGAGGAAATATGGTTGGTGTGACCCCCCCCCCCCCCCCCAATAATACAGGTCAAGAATAATCTAGATATTTATAAGAAATCGCTGACTTTAGGTTAGTGTGTGTGCATGTGTCTGTTCGCGTCTGTGTGTGTTAGAGTAAGCACCATAGCCAGGCTGTAGTGCAGGTCCCTGTCCCAGGGTGATGGATAAGTGGATTTATTGTGACGGCGGTGTCAGTGGATTCCCAGATTTATGGCCGCTCAGACGTGACTCATGCACAGCCCTCAATGGCTTTGGTTATGAGTGTGGGAGAAAGGAAGCCCCACTCAATCAAATGCCAGTCCATAAATAAAATGGGCCATGGCAGGCAGGGCAGCACAATTCTAATGGCAACAGCAGCCCGTACAGCAGGTACTCACACACACACACACACACACACACACACCAAAACGCCGCCTGGAAAAGTCAGAGGAGCGGGCGTAATACTTTCTGATTCAGATTGATGAGAATCTAATCCACCTTAAGGTCACTTCAACATCCAAAAAACGGCAATTGGAGGCTGGTGTAAGTTAGCTAGGTTTCAGAAGCTCATTCTGAATGCGCTGGCCGTTGGGTTTGGGGTAAGGCAATGTTTTTCCCACTTAGATGGGGATGACTCACCACTTTATCTCAGCCTCTAAGCTCACACACGCCGACTCTCAAACGTTGACTCATGATTTGTGTTCTTCCTTCCACAGATATAGCCTAGCTAACCATTACGCGATGCTGGCACATCAATTTAAAGTTGCCCCATAACAATATCAATAATAGTCGCCTTAAAAGGGACATCAGCATTTTAAGTAACGAGGCTTCTCACCGCTGTGGAAGAACTGTAACAGAAAAGTGCTCAGTAAGGCTGGTTCATGCAGTCAATATCTCTCTCCTAAATGAAGATATCACTTAACTGAAATGAAATGATTTGGTACTGAACATCACCACATCACATCAATGCTGTTGGCTGATGATTCCGTAGAGAAAATGTAAAATCCTGATTCCCCTCCACTCCCAATAGACTTGGCGTTCTGTGAACTCATGGTCCCTATCCCCAGGGGGATCGGCCAGGAGCAGAGGCGGGTAGCTTTGACCAACATCCCAAACCCCACCACCTCCCCAATTTCCACCTGAGCACAGTTCCAAGACTCCCAGACTAATTTAACACATACCCTCCTCCTTTCTTTCCTCTCCCTTTTATTAGTGTGAGCACTGAGGAGAACCCCTCTCCTCGGACAAACACTTGAGGAGCTAAGACCTTACTAATCCTCTGTTGATGCTGATCTCCACAGGCGGCGAGGAAGAGGAAGATCTCCATTCTGAAGGCCCAGGGGAAGAGTGCCGAGGCCATTCGCGAGCTCAACGAGTATCTGGAGCAGTGAGTAGTGTTTTACAAGGGGATTTGGACGACCTCCTCCTCATCCGCACCTCCCCTGGTCTTTTTAATTAAAAGGGGGTTTGGATTCGATTTGAGCCGGGCTGGGCCACAACCTGTCCATGAGACCCCCCCAACCCTGCTCAACCCCCCATCTTGGGAGCTCTGCCTGTCTGCCCTGTCCGTCTATGTTAGCCTAGTTATATAATGCCATGATTTGGATTGATTTGAAACGTTGAGATTTCAGCTGTTGTACTATACATTAGAGAGGTTATTGTTGATGATCCTCAATGGGAGACTCCCTAAATTTCTCACTGTTTTTACAGGTTCGTCGGGGACCAGGAAGCGTGGCACGAGCTGTCGGAACTCTACATCAACGAGCACGAGTAATCATCGCATTTCTTTATCACATTAATTTAACTCATTATTACATTTTAGTCATTTAGCAGACTCTCTTATCCAGAGCGACTTACAGTTAGTGAGTGCATACATTATTTAATTTTTTTCATACTGGCCCCCCGTGGGAATCGAACCCACAACCCTAGCGTTGCAAATGCCATGCTCTACCAACAGAGCTACATCCCTGCCGGCCATTCCCTCCCCTACCCTGGACGGCCAATTGTGCGCCGCCCCATGGGTCTCCCGGTCGCGGCCGGCTACGACAGAGCCTGGATTCGAACCAGGATCTCTAGTGCCTTAGACCACTGTGCCATTCGGTGCCCACATTATCCTACGTCACTTGTGATTAATTTACCCACATTGTTTTTACTGACTTATTCCAGTGGTGAGTACTGTGCCAGCAGTGTGTCAGCACTCCCTGGTGTCAAGACCTGGAGGCGGCACCTTATCATATCTCCCAGGGGCATCTGTCAGCTTCTAACAGACTCAGGGGGGTGAGACAGAGTGGGGAGTGTCTGTAAGCAGTAACTCCTCTCCTCTCCCAGTCTCGGTGGCTGAACTGACGGCTTGATCCCAGAGGGGATGTATTAGGATGGGCACAATGGAGAGGGGCGGTGAAATGCCTAACTCAGCCAGGGGTCTGCTTTGAACCCCTGTCTTTGTTTGTCACATGGAGAGGAGGGTAATAGGATTTAGTCCCTAAGCCCCCCACTCATACGTATGGGGGGTAAGACAACCTCCTACTGATATCTCTGTTGCCAGGGGTAATTGTCAGCCTCCCAAGACAAGAGCATTGCAAGAAATGTTTTTGTTTTGTTTGTGTCACTTTTTGTCCCTCATTAATTGTCTTGGGGGCTTAGGAGTCAGGGAAGCAGCCGTCTTTCACGGAGGTGTGTGTGTATGTGTGTGGTTGTGTGAGCAGCACACCGGCTCTGCGGTCACCCTGGCAAGAGGGCAGTGTCTGCAGGAATGTTTAGCGTAGTGAGAGGGCTGCTTATTGGATATTTCATGTTTTTGTCCCGAGTGGCTTTATTGCTGTAGTAGCGGGAGGAAATCCAGGGGTGAGCGGATTATCTCCCAGCTTAGCCCAACTTTTCTAATATCACCCCATTCACTCCCCGAGCCCCTTATCTACAGGCGTGTCAATTTCTTTTCTCTTTTCTGTATTTTGGGTTACAAACGCCCTTTTTCCCCCTCCCATCCTCTTCCGGACAGCATGGCATTATCGCCTTTCTTTTCCACAGAGAGAGAGGGAGGGAGAGTGGCTGCAGAGAGATTCCCAGGAGAAGTTGGTGGCACTTTCTTTCCAGAGCCAGAAAAAACCGAGGCTGATGGGGAAGTGAGGAAGAGAAATAAACGATTCCGCCCTCACTGTGTAGCGCCCCGCAAGCTAAAAATATACAAATCGCTCACGGATTCTCGCCTGCCATTGTTACATGGCTCTACAGGCATCAGTGTTCAAACATTATGACAGTAATTAATAGCCTAACACAGTGGAAACTTTTTTGAATAATCCTCATACCGCTGAGTGATATTCGGACGTTACTGAGATTGCGCCTTTTTGTTATTGTTGCGATTGAACCGTTGAGATGCTTCGACTCATTGAGAATCATCTGAGCTTTTAGTGCTGTTGAAGTAGTCTTTATTGAACTACTGTCTATCGGTTCAGATTGGCCTGGTCATCCGACAGAGCATGATGACTTTCTGTGGTCAGTTTTGCACAGTCTAATGGCGGAATCTTGATCCGTTTGCCCAGTCTAGTTGGGGAAAAACTTTGGGCTGGAATTCAGTCAAACTGTGGTATTACAATTGGTAGCACCAAAAACCAACCGTTGTCTGGTTTGGTGTTCAAAGAAAACAAAGCAATTGTGTGAGTCATACGAACAGTGCTACCACCCCGAGCTAGCACCGTGGTCTCTGAGCCCAGGCTTAGGGAGTTGGAGCTGAGTGGTGGTATGATGGTCGGAGGGTGGAGATTGGAGGGTGCGGTACTGCAGTCAGCCAGGCCTCTGCCTGGTGATGGAGGCTGCCTCTCCACTCTCCTCTCCGCTGCAGGCCGGGGCCACTGCAGGAGCACATCTGAAAGTCTTTATGGGGAGGAAGTGGTAATTGTAAGCAGCCCCCCAACCTTCCAAATACCCCGATCTCTCTCGCTCTTTCTCTCTCTCTTCTCCCCCCCCCAGTTTCTCTCCCTCTCACTCCAACTCGCCCCTCGCGCTCCCCCACCACTCTCATGGTGTGGCTCTCTGTCTTTGAAGTCCTTTAAACAGACTCTAAATGGGCCGATAGTCTCTTCATGTCGTGCGAGGCAGCATTTGGGCCTGTGTTCCCGCCAAAACACCCAACTTGCGTCAACGTTTTGTTTCCCCTCCTCTCTCCCTCGCTGGCAGTGAAATGGCTACAGATTAGCATCCATATCTTGCGTCATTTAGGATCCCACAAGCACCATTTTGGTTTTTCTGCGCATTTCCAAGCGCTGATACAGCATATGCTGGATCACGTACAGTCTCTCTACACTAGAATTGAATTCTGTTTTTTTGTGTGTTTTGTCCGATTTGGTTTAATAGCCCTGTTTTAGTGTTCTGGGGTCATATGGTTTATGTAGTCTGTCAAGGCGTGGGAATTGTGTGTGTGTGTGGACTTTGTAATTCTGACTGTGTGCGTCTGAGTGATAAACTTGCCTTCCCTTGGACGGGTCCCCTGAAGGGGAAACTGTGTATTAGATGTGGAATGGCTGCAGATTAGCGTGAGGTCAACAGCTCAGCAGTCTGAGAAGTGATCTCATTTGAGTAGGGCACAGTGTGCCAGTTCCTACTGTAGCGCTGACCTCAGGAAGGTATTTAACTACACATTACCAGAGTGAAAAACACATCCCCAGACAGACAGATTGATCCTGTTTGTCTGGAGACCCCCGCTCTTCTCCTTTTCAATGTTCCACTTTCCAAAATGGAAGAGTTTCGCCAATATATACATAACCACATAGGCCACCAGATCCCCTTAGTCTGCAAATAAACGTAGTTTGTTGGATGCATCTTCCTAGATCCAAACTTGCCAAAATGGTACAGTAAACCAAGGCAGCAATAGAACTTTCTGCAGAACAAATGTACACTCTCGGATTGGAATGGGTAGACTACATCACAGATGAAATAGAGCACATTTCCCCCCTTACTATTTTAAAGCTGAAAGATTAAATGTCCATCGCTAGTAGTCATCAATCTATTCATTGTTTTCCCTTGTTTCCACAGCTATGGAAAAGCAGCTTTCTGTCTGGAGGAGCTGATGATGACCAACCCTCACAATCACTTGTACTGTGAGCAGTACGCTGAGGTAGGTATGACTCTCTGCATGTCCGTCATCAAGCGGCCTAACTATGGAATAATGTTTCCCCCAGCCCTCTACGTGAATGGAGGAGCCGGCCGCTGCACTTAACGTCAGTGGGAATACACGCTCATGAATGTCGAAATGTTTACATGGCTTGTCATGTCGTGCTTATTCAGATGCCATGTAGGCATTGCGTAAGCCCCCCTCAAATTTTAATGCCTTGTCTCATAGGTGAAGTACACCCAGGGGGGGCTGGAAAACCTGGAGCTGTCCAGAAAATATTTTGCCCAGGCTCTGAAGCTGAACAACAGAAACATGAGGGCCTTGTTCGGTCTGTATATGGTGAGTTCAAACGTCTAACCGTCGCATGAGGAAAGGAGCGAGGGAGGGGGTGAAAGAGCAACAACTCATCCCTTTTCTCCTGTGGTTTGTCAAAATGTGCAGGCCTGCTACTGGCTTTGTGTAGTGACCACAGAGCCCAGCTTTCAGACAGGTCAGGTCAATGCTGACTCAGTGGGTAAACCCCCCGGCTTGGAAAAGTCTGCCCCTTCAAGCTCTCTATTTTGGTGATATTATCCCTCTAGGCTTTTGTACGGGACCTTTTTCATGTTTAGGACCAAAATGACTAAAATAAATAAGAGCAGTGGCAGTATGAAAAGGGGAAAGAGAGGGCCACTGCCTCTCTCTGTCGCAGGCAGCCCCCAGCCCCGGCCCAGGTTAACGTTTTGATTTTGTCTGCGCCAAATGCCCCCCTTTCATCTGCATATTTATTTAAACAGGAAGTTGTCCATTAGCACCAATGCATCATATGTAAGTGAGTCCTGACATAAGAACACAAACGGAGAGTGCAGGAATAAGGGTGGGTGGATGGCCAGAGCAGAGAGAAGCAGCGACACAGGCCTTCCAGTGTTTCCTCTCACAGGGGTTCAGGCAGTCAAAACATCTCATACACGGAAAGGGGCACAACCACTGGATCCGTTCATGGTCTTTGAAGGGATATCTTCACTTTTATAGACTAACCTTTATTTTTCTAAAAGTAGTCTATGGGGTTAAAATTAGCTAACGTTAGCAGTGGCTATTTAAACAAATTCAAACCGTAGGTGACTGTCTCTCCTTGCCCATAGACTACTTTCAGGGTAAATGGAAAAAGGAGTCGGGAGAGGCGAAGGTCGAGGGCCATGCGTCCTCCGAAACACGACCCCGCCAAGCCGCACTGCTTCTTGACACACTGCTCGCTTAACCCGGAACCCAGCCGCACCCATGTGTCGGAGGAAACGCCGTACAGCTGGTGACCGAAGTCAGCATGCATGCGCCCGGCCGCCACAAGGAGTCACTAGAGCGCGATGGGACATCCCGGCCGGCCAAACCCTTCCCTAACCTGGACGACGCTGAGCCAATTGTGCGCCGCCTCATGGGTCTCCCGGTCGCGGCCTGCTGCGACACAAACCGGGATCGATCCCAGATCTGTAGTGACGCCTCGCAGTGCCTTAGATCGCTGCGCCACTCGGGAGGCCGTAATTATCTTTTTATGCACTTTTCTCTCTACACATTGATAAGAGCGATTGATAAGCGCTGGGTAAATGAGTAAGCCGTTTGGATAAGGGGATTGTAAATATACAGTGGGGGAAAAAAAGTATTTAGTCAGCCACCAATTGTGCAAGTTCTCCCACTTAAAAAGATGAGAGGCCTGTAATTTTCATCATAGGTACACGTCAACTATGACAGACAAAATGAGATAATTTTTTCCAGAAAATCACATTGTAGGATTTTTTATGAATTTATTTGCAAATTATGGTGGAAAATAAGTATTTGGTGAATAACAAAAGTTTCTCAATACTTTGTTATATACCCTTTGTTGGCAATGACACAGGTCAAACGTTTTCTGTAAGTCTTCAAGGTTTTCACACACTGTTGCTGGTATTTTGGCCCATTCCTCCATGCAGATCTCCTCTAGAGCAGTGATGTTTTGGGGCTGTCGCTGGGCAACACAGACTTTCAACTCCCTCCAAAGATTTTCTATGGGGTTGAGATCTGGAGACTGGCTAGGCCACTCCAGGACCTTGAAATGCTTCTTACGAAGCCACTCCTTCGTTGCCCTGGCGGTGTGTTTGGGATCATTGTCATGCTGAAAGACCCAGCCACGTTTCATCTTCAATGCCCTTGCTGATGGAAGGAGGTTTTCACTCAAAATCTCACGATACATGGCCCCATTCATTCTTTCCTTTACACGGATCAGTCGTCCTGGTCCCTTTGCAGAAAAACAGCCCCAAAGCATGATGTTTCCACCCCCATGCTTCACAGTAGGTATGGTGTTCTTTGGATGCAACTCAGCATTCTTTGTCCTCCAAACACGACGAGTTGAGTTTTTACCAAAAAGTTATATTTTGGTTTCATCTGACCATATGACATTCTCCCAATCCTCTTCTGGATCATCCAAATGCACTCTAGCAAACTTCAGACGGGCCTGGACATGTACTGGCTTAAGCAGGGGGACACATCTGGCACTGCAGGATTTGAGTCCCTGGCGGCGTAGTGTGTTACTGATGGTAGGCTTTGTTACTTTGGTCCCAGCTCTCTGCAGGTCATTCACTAGGTCCCCCCGTGTGGTTCTGGGATTTTTGCTCACCGTTCTTGTGATCATTTTGACCCCACGGGGTGAGATCTTGCGTTGAACCCCAGATCGAGGGAGATTATCAGTGGTCTTGTATGTCTTCCATTTCCTAATAATTGCTCCCACAGTTGATTTCTTCATACCAAGCTGCTTACCTATTGCAGATTCAGTCTTTCCAGCCTGGTGCAGGTCTACAATTTTGTTTCTGGTGTCCTTTGACAGCTCTTTGGTCTTGGCCATAGTGGAGTTTGGAGTGTGACTGTTTGAGGTTGTGGACAGGTGTCTTTTATACTGATAACAAGTTCAAACAGGTGCCATTAATACAGGTAACAAGTGGAGGACAGAGGAGCCTCTTAAAGAAGAAGTTACAGGTCTGTGAGAGCCAGAAATCTTGCTTGTTTGTAGGTGACCAAATACTTATTTTCCACCATAATTTGCAAATAAATTCATTAAAAATCCTACAATGTGATTTTCTGGATTTTATTTTCTCAATATCTGTCATAGTTGACGTGTACCTATGATGAATATTACAGGCCTCTCATCTTTTTAAGTGGGAGAACTTGCACAATTGGTGGCTGACTAAATACTTTTTTCCCCCACTGTAAATGACAATTGTAATGTAAATGTAAATGACCATGCCACCGTCAGTTATACCTACATACATTTAGAACTGTCACTTAAGTGTTCCTTTCCTTACATTTTGCATCATTCCATTACATAGTTAGTTTACCTTTCTTTCCTCTTTCAGATTTGTGTGGTTGTTCCTGAGGATCGCTAGCAATGGTGGATCATATTAGGCTAACGTATTACAAGTTGTGCAATCGTTTGCGACATGTAGCCTATTTGAATCATTATGGAACGCAGACCATACATAGCAGTTTAAACCTGGAGCCTGGCGCACGGTTCACAACGACTGGACTGTTCTCATCACAGTTCCAGGATCAGGGTAGACTTATTGACTACTGTTCAACCCCTACTGTACACTTACCTTCCAATACTTCATGGATTGAACAATTTGATTGTCAGCTTTCAGGATGAATCGAACCACTGTATTTTTGATTCACCAATATATTTTGTGCGTATAGGCTCTCCAAACCTGTTTTTTATTATTATATATAAATACTTTCCTAATCGTAGATAATATACAAGATCAGAGTTTTTTTTTACATCTTGCAATTGGTGCTGAAAAGGAGACAAATATCCGTGTATTTAGGCCTACAAGGCTTTGTTTCACTGATCCCTATTCTGAACCGTTCTCTCCATATATTTTAGTGAGTCTGTCGAGAAAATTCAAATTGAAGGTACACCAAATTAAAAGGGATGGCTTTAGATAAATGTACTGAAAACTCCACGAGAAAATCTGTTGGGCAGCAAGTGGGAGGGTTTTCAGTGGTTGAATTAAATGTATTCAGCGCGCTCAAGGGAACCATGCCTGCAAAGCCCGTTACGCACCTGCATAAGGTAAGTCTGAATACCAACTACTGAGAAGTGTGTAGGAAAGGCATACGTAGTTACACAGAGGTCTTTATGTTCCTCTGTCAAATCATCCACTGCCACTTGTATTTTGGCCTAACGCTGGTTTCAGGTTTAAATTTGATCATAAAGTGTGTCCAAGTTAGTTCCTGACATGGGATTGTGCTAAGGCAATGACTTTCTAACCATTTCATCTGATTCTGGTTGACAGTGAAGCTTCATTAACACCACCGAAGGGCAGCTCCTCACCGAAGAGCTATTTGATTGGTTCTGCTTAGTCGTTCAGAGCACCTGGTACAGCTTAGTCGTTGGTAGCCGTGACCGCTGTGAGGTTAGTTAGTGCTAGTCAGTGCCGTGTCACCGCACTGGCGGGGATCCTCTCTCACGGAGGACGACGACATTCTGGGGTAGTCTGTCGGAGCTGACATCATAAGCCGGAGGTTATGAAGAAGAAGAAGCGAAAGCGTTTTAAAGAAAATAAGAGGAGGGGGGGGGGGGGGGGGGGCGGCAAGGTTGATTGGGGTGTAGTTAAAGTTTCAGCATGTCCATGGGACACCTTTGAAGTGCTGCCCGTTTAAGCCTAGTGGGGTTTGCACTGCGGAGACGATGGCAGTAGCATGGGAAAGACATGGGTTTTGTGGTTCTGAGGGGAGCTGAGACGAGCGGAGAGCATGAATCACATCGCGCTTTGCTCGCCACCGCACCGCGGGTTCCGAAGACATGCCGAGCCCTGTCATCACCGGCTATCTATGGTGTTAGAGAAATTAGGGCCCATGAAGTGACACTGCACACGGTGGCTGGGACATTAAATAAAACACTAACTTATTCCTCTCCTGTAAACGTTTTCTACACGTGTTGTAGGGCCAATTTTTGTCGTCTTGCCCACGGTGGAGTTGGTTGCACATTCATCTCAATTATGCTTTTATTGCAGTTTCGCCATGTGTTTGATATGACGACGCCTTTCTTTCCCTCTCCTCTTTCCTCTCTCCCCTGCTTTCCACTCCCTTCTTCTTCTTCCCGTCTAGTCGGCAAGCCACATTGCTGCCAGCCCCAAAGTGAACGCCACAGTGAAAAAGTCCAATGTGAAGTATGCTGCTTGGGCCACCAATCAAATCAACCGAGCCTATCAGGTGAGTTACAGAGGGCAGGTGTCAACTTTAATTTTGGAAGCTACACCATTTACATTTTAGTCATTTAGCAGACGCTCTTATTCAGAGCGATTTACAGTAGTGCATACATTTTCATACTTTTTTTCGTACTGGTCTCCCGTGGTAATCGAACCCACAACCCTGCCGTTGCAAGCGCCATGCTTTACCGACTGAGCCACATGGGTCCTTTCCCACTTGCCTTTTCCACTTAACTGTTCCTATACAACAAGGGTAGTCAGCCCTGGTTCTGTAGTGCCACAGGTACTTTATGTATTTTATTGAACATTTCTGCTTTAGACCAGGTGAGATTAATCTAGCCAATCACTGTTGGTGAGGTTATTGGCAGAATTAGGTGTGGTGCCTAGGGCTGTTGTGGAGACCATATTCATCAAAACAGTATCATGCTTTTAAATCTCGCTGTTAGGCTACATTTTTTGACCTCTCTGTGATGATCAATTTGAAGAAAGAAGTTTAACAAAAGGTTGAAACTGAGTGAAAAACATGGTCGTTGTGGATGTCGTTTCAAAGTAGTGCTGTGGCTGTCACAAAATGTCGTCAGCCGGTGATTGTCAAGCAAATAACTGTCGGTCTCACGATAATTGACTGTTAATTAACATAAACACATTTAGCATCTCCTGGCTTCCACACACAGCCTACAACCCACTGATGTAGACCTTTGGAACATCTACATTTTTAAAAAGTCTATATCCTACACCTTCACAATAAATCCATTATTTATTTTAGACAGGTCTAAAGAAACATGATATGAAGAAAATGTAGTCTATTTCAGAAGAACAGAATAGTATTCCGTTTCATTATTTTCTATTATTTTATAGTATGAAGAATACAATTGAATAAAGCTGAATAAAATAGAAAGGATATTTTCTCCAAATGATTTGAGGGAGTGCGCACATATGGCTATTCTGTGTTGAGCAGTTAAAGAAATAGGTCCTCCTATATGCTTAATTTAGAGTTATTAATGTAACTTTAGTTGTTCTACAAACGTTGGGCTATATGTTCTGATTTTTAATACATTTTAAGGCTGCATGATAAGTCACTTGAAAGGCATAAGCTCTGCTTTGTTTTTTGCGCAGGCTGTACACACTTCATCAGTCTCTATTTCACAATTTGAGAAGCATTTGATAATGCCATGAATTTCACAGCGGCATCCCCTTTGTGTGGCCATAATGCACCCTAAAATAATCCATGCCTTCCCCCTGAGTGCTGCCTGCACCGATGCATTGCTCACTCACACGGCTCTCCATCACGTGATCGGGTCTTTCTCACAGGCTACAAGTGAAGACAGACACATCGGGGACGCACCTGCGTGCGTCCTTATCCAATTCCGAGGTGCATATTGAAGATATTGGAAGAACTGTCCACATTTACTTTTTGTCAGCCAACAAGATAGTAGGCCTAACGAACAGCAAAAGCACTAGCCTATGTCAATCTACTATCCCCCATAGTACAAAAGTTGCCCTATTCTGTGCGAGAAATAAATATTCCAAACATAGTCTGGGACAGTTGTGGGATGCGATAGATCCCAAATGTATACAACCACTAGCATAAAAAAAAAGTGATAGGCTAATATTGTCACCTATCAGACTATTCTTGATTTAATCTTGTCTTTACATACATTTTCTACATTGTAAACTCAGCAAAAAAAGAAATGTCCTCTCACTGTCAACTGCGTTTATTTTCAGCCAACTTAACATGTGTAAATATTTGTATGAGCATAACAAGATTCAACAACTGAGACATAAACTGAACAAGTTCCACAGACATGTGACTAACATAAATTGAATAATGTGTCCCTGAACAAAGGGGGGGTCAAAATCAAAAGTAACAGTCAGTATCTGGTGTGGCCACCAGCTGCATTAAGTATTGCAGTGCAACTCCTCCTCATGGACTGCACCAGATTTGCCAGTTCTTGCTGTGAGATGTTACCCCACTCTTCCACCAAGGCACCTGCAAGTTCCCGGACATTTCTGGGGGGAATGGCCCTAGCCCTCACCCTCCGATCCAACAGGTCCCAGACGTGCTCAATGGGATTGAGATCCGGGCTCTTCGCTGGCCATGGCAGAACACTGACATTCCAGTCTTACAGGAAATCATGCACAGAATGAGCAGTATGGCTTGTGTCATTGTCATGCTGGATGGTCATGTCAGGATGAGCCTGCAGGAAGGGTACCACATGAGGGAGGAGGATGTCTTCCCTGTAACGCACAGCGTTGAGATTGCCTGCAATGACAACAAGCTCAGTCCGATGATGCTGTGACACACCGCCCCAGACCATGACGGACCCTCCACCTCCAAATCGATCCCGATCCAGAGTACAGGCCTCGGTGTAACGCTCATTCCTTCGACGATAAACGCGAATCTGACCATCACCCCTGGGTGAGACAAAACCGCGACTCGTCAGTGAAGAGCACTTTTTGCCATTCCTATCTGGTCCAGTGACGGTGGGTTTGTGCCCATAGGCGACGTTGATGCCGGTGATGTCTGGTGAGGACCTGCCTTACATTAGGCCTACAAGCCCTCAGTCCAGCCTGTCTCAGCCTATTGCGGACAGTCTAAGCACTGATGGAGGGATTGTGCGTTCCTGGTGTAACTCGGGCAGTTGTTGTTGCCATCCTGTACCTGTCCCGCAGGTGTGATGTTCAGATGTACCGATCCTGTGCAGGTGTTGTTACACGTGGTCTGCCGCTGCGAGGACGATCAGCTGTCCGTCCTGTCTCCCTGTAGCGCTGTCTTAGGCGTCTCACAGTACGGACATTACAATTTATTGCCCTTGCCACATCTGCAGTCCTCATGCCTCCTTGCAGCTTGCCTAAGGCACGTTCACGCAGATGAGCAGGGACCCTGGGCATCTTTCTATGGGTGTTTTTCAGAGTCAGTAGAAAGGCCTCTTTAGTGTCCTAAGTTTTCATAACTGTGACTTTAATTGCCTACCATCTGTAAGCTGTTAGTGTCTTAACGACCGTTCCACAGGTGCATGTTCATTAATTGTTTATGGTTAATTGAACAAGCATGGGAAACAGTGTTTAAACCCTTTACAATGAAGATCTGTGAAGTTATTTAGATTTTTACGAATTATCTTTGAAAGACAGGGTCCTGAAAAAGGGACGTTTCTTTTTTTGCTGAGTTTAGAATAATAGTGAAGACATCAAAACTATGAAATAACACAAATGGAATCATGTATTAAACAAATCTAAATATATTTTATATTTGAGATTCTTCAAAGTAGCACCCTTTGCCTTGATGACAGCTTTGCACACTCTTGGCATTCTCTCAACCAGCTTCATGAGGTAGTCACCATGGAATGCATATCAATTAACAGGTGTGCCTTGTTAAAAGTTAATTTGTGGAATTTCTTTCCTTAATGTGTTTGAGCCAATCAGTTGTTTTGTCACAATGTAGGGGTGGTATACAGAAGATAGCCCTATTTAGTAAAAGACCAAGTCCATATTATGGCAAGAACATCTCAAATAAGCAAAGAGAAACGACAGTCCATCATTACTTTAAGACATGAAGGTCAGTCAATCTGGAACATTTCATGAACTTTGAACGTTTCTTCAAGTGCAGTCGCAAAAACTATCAAGCGCTATGATGAAACTGGCTCTCATGAGGACCACCACAGGAAAGGAAGACCCAGAGTTACTTCTACCTCTGCTGCAGAGGATAAGTTCATTAGAGTTAACTGCACCTCAGATTGCACTTAGTGGGACTATCATTTGTTTTTCAACAGGACAATGACCCAAAACGCCTCCAGGCTGTGTAAGGGCTATGACCTGGCCTCCACAATCACCCGACCTCAACCCAGTTGAGATGGTTTGGGATTAGTTGGACCGCAGAGTGAAGAAAAAACAGCCATCAAGTGCTCAGCATATGTGGGAACTCATTCCAGATGACTACCTCATGAAGCTGGTTGAGAGAATGTCAAGAGTGTGCAAAGCTTTCATCAAGGCAAAGCGTGGCTACTTGAAGAATCTGAAATATAAAATGTGTTTAACACTTTTTTGGTTACTACATGATTCCATATGTGTTATTTCATAGTTTTGATGTCTTCACTATTATTCTACAATGTAGAAAATAGTAAAAAATTAAGAAATACTCTTGAATGAGTACAGTGAGGGGAAAAAAGTATTTGATCCCCTGCTGATTTTGTACGTTTGCCCACTGACAAAGACATGATCAGTCTATAATTGTAATGGTAGGTTTATTTGAACAGTGAGAAACAGAATAATTATAAATTGATTTTCATTTTAATGAGGGAAATAAGTATTTGACCCCTCTGCAAAACATTACTTAGTACATGGTGGCAAAACCCTTGTTGGCAATCACAGAGGTCAGACGTTTCTTGTAGTTGGCCACCAGGTTTGCACACATCTCCGGAGGGATTTTGTTCCACTCCTCTTTGCAGATCTTCTCCAAGTCATTAAGGTTTCGAGGCTGACGTTTGGCAACTCTAACCTTCAGCTCCCTCCGCAGATTTTCTATGGGATTAAGGTCTGGAGACTGGCTAGGCCACTCCAGGACCTTAATGTGCTTCTTCTTGAGTCACTCCTTTGTTGCCTTGGCCGTGTGTTTTGGGTCATTGTCATGCTAGAATACCCATCCACGACCCATTTTCAATGCCCTGGCTGAGGGAAGGAGGATCTCACCCAAGATTTGACGGTACATGGCCCCGTCCATCGTCCCTTTGCGGTGAAGTTGTCCTGTCCCCTTAGCAGAAAAACACCCCCAAAGCATAATGTTTCCACCTCCATGTTTGACGGTGGGGATGGTGTTTTTGGGGTCATAGGCAGCATTCCTCCTCCTCCCAACACGGCGAGTTGAGTTGATGCCAAAGAGCTCGATTTTGGTCTCATCTGACCACAACACTTTCACCCAGTTCTCCTATGAATCATTCAGATGTTCATTGGCAAACTTCAGACAGGCCTGTATTTGTGCTTTCTTGAGCAGGGGGACCTTGCGGGCACTGCAGGATTTCAGTCCTTCACGGCGTAGTGTGTTACCAATTGTTTTGCTTGGTGAGTTGGTCCCAGCTGCCTTGAGATCATTGACAAGATCCTCCTATGTAGTTCTGGGCTGATTCCTCACCGTTCTCATGATCATTGCAACTCCACGAGGTGAGATCTTGCATGGCGCCCCAGGCCGAGGGAGATTGACAGTTCTTTTGTGTTTCTTCCATTTGCGAATAATCGCACCGACTGTTGTCACCTTCTCACCAAGCTGCTTGGCGATGGTCGTGTAGGTCTACAATCTTGTCCCTGACATCCTTGGAGAGCTCTTTGGTCTTGGCCATGGTGGAGAGTTTGGAATCTGATTGATTGATTGCTTCTGTGGACAGGTGTCTTTTATACAGGTAACGAGCTGAGATTAGGAGCACACTCTTAAAGGGAGTGCTCCTAATCTCAGCTTGTTACCTGTATAAAAGACACCTGTCCACAGAAGCAATCAATCAGAGATTAGGAGCACTCCCTTTAAGAGTGTGCTCCTAATCTCAGCTCGTTACCTGTATAAAAGACACCTGGGAGCCAGAAATCTTTCTGATTGAGAGGGGGTCAAATACTTATTTCCCTCATTAAAATGCAAATCAATTTATAACATTTTTGACATTAGTTTTTCTGGATTTTGTTGTTGTTATTCTGTCTCTCACTGTTCAAATAAACCTACCATTAAAATTATAGACTGATCATTTCTTTGTCAGTGGGCAAACGTACAAAATCAGCAGGGGATCAAATACATTTTTTCCCTCACTGTAGGTGTTCTAAAACTTTTGACCGGTAGTGTAAATGCGTATTTAATATAACTCTTTTCTGCCATAAGGGGTGATATATGTTGCTTATTTAGGCATTGACAGTTAAACATGTAATAAGCAGTTCCTTGCTCTGCATGTGCGGGCTCTGTCGGGAGAGTGGAACCCCGCTGAGCCACTAAAGCCCACGTCTTGACACACTCAGCGCTGTCTTTCCCTCCTGGAGTGCTGGGAGGGTTTCCACCACAGAGGTTAGTAGTAGTATGGGTGTTGGGTCTCTAACACGTTGGGTGTTGATTAATCAAGAACACTTAACTGTGTTAGTTTTCCAACACTGTGGGTGGTGTCAATCAGTCAGTCAGGCACACTTTACAATGTTACACTCAACACTGTGGGTGTGGAATATTTATTCACATTTTAAGTGTTTCTATTTGGTGAGTAAATGCACAAGGGAAAATAACATGTGTGTTTGGTCTCCACTCTCAGACAGAGCCAGAGCCACACCCTTATCAGCCAGGGAACAGGAAGAGGCTACCGGCGGGCCCGGCCAGCAACCTGTTGGGCTGTGTTTGTTTTAAGTTGCCTGGTAATGGCAGGGGCAGCAGAGCAGCGGGACCCCACCCTGCGTGTGAGAGGAAAAATGACAGGGCGCAAGGTTGACTTTTCTTCTCCTCCTTTTTAAATGGGTCCTGGGCTATTTGAAAGGGAGCCGCTGTGGATCATTGTGGGCCTCCGCAGGGCTGGCCTGGCTGCTGTGTGCTTGTGCTGACTGATTGATGGGGGCATTAAAGGGCTGCTCGTGTCAGCCATCCCGCTTTTATGACCCGCTGTACCTGGTGATTGTCATACCTCAGTACGAGAAAAGGCAGCAGGTGAGTGGTGTTGTGGGAGCAGACGTCACAATGGGGTCAAAGCGACTGGGGCAAGCCGTTAAAAATGTTACTACTGAAAACGGAAAGACAGGGCCCGGCAGGGAAATTAAACAGAGTGACTCCTACATAGTCACAAGCAGGTAAGATCTTTTTATGTCTATATAGTATCAGAAAGAGCAGATTATGCTGTTTCCAAATCACCTATCCTTGCCAAACAACTTAACAATTACCCATTGGGTCGACATGAACTTTGATAAAGGCAGCCCTCTGCACCTCTATGATTCAGAGGGGTTGGGTTAAACGCACAAGACACATTTTGGTTGAATGCATTCAGTTGTGCAACTGACTAGGAAATGTCTTGCGTATTTAACCCTACACTTTCCCTATTTTAGAGTATAACTTTTTGGCAGAATTACCACGATTACATGCGCTCCCCATTTGCACTAGGGATTAATATTTTCCTTGAAAATCTACCGAGTTTCAATACCGGGAATAATTCATAGTTATCAGATTTGGTTGGAGGGAAGGTTGTGCCAAATCCTGTCATTTGTAAGGAACCCAGAGTAGAGGAACCCGATGGGTTATCAGAAAAGTACCCTGGAGAGTTCCCAGCGTGTGCTAGTTTTGAGGAGGATGTCAGCGATCCCACCATGGTCGATCTGTCCGAGACGTTTATGGGTGATCCTGATTTCGGTAAACCACCTGAGTTGACCTCTCCTTTGAAAACTCCAAAGATGAGCGAGTTTGTAGGACCACTGAAGGAAGAGAAGGTTCCTACAGTTGACACTTTGATGTTTAGGAAGCAGCTGATTTCGGAACAGAGTAAATATGTTTCCCTCTCCCCTCTTTTTGCTGAGATATGTCAAGAGGCGGAGTTTGATGAAGTTAGTATGCGTTACTTTGACAGAGATGGTATTCTAATGAGGATATGGAGTTCTCGTATCTTACTCTTGTAAGTAAGCATTTCACGGTAAGGTCTACACCTGTTGTATTCGGCGCATGTGACAAATAAAATGTGATTTGATTTGATCATGTTCGCTGCCACTTGTTTCCCTGAGGCCATTCCACTAAGGAAAATCACAAGAGGAAAGTTGGTATGTATATTACAGGAGTTTCCCCTTGAAATCAGACATGTCTGTGGTAAGGACAACTTGGTTGCTGATTGTCTTTCAAGGGTGGGCATTCAATACGTTTTGTGTTTAGCCATTGTGTAGCCCTGGCTCACAATTTATTTTTACTGCACATTTTGGAGATGAGTTTTGTTTTGGTTGCGCTCGTTCGAAGGGGACGAGCGTTATAGAAGCGTATGTGAGTTTTAAGAAAACTTGCGAGTTTTGGGCAACTATAGAAAGAAAAATAGAGGTGGCTGTTTTGTCTTGTATTTAATTGTTGACAGCCAGTGGTGGCAATGTTTATATTGGAGAAGTCGACGCATTTAAGTAGTGATTCATTTAAGTTGGTTATGTTGTCCAATGGAAGTTGTTTTCTGTTGGTGATGAGAGAACTTGTCCAACAAAAATATAGGATATATTTGTTGTCTTAAGAGGGAAGGTGTTACAGGTTTTGGTTTTTCCATTTATGTTATGAGGTTGGACTTTAGCACGTATAGCTCGTTAGCACGCAGGGCGTATCGATTGATGTCACGTCGTTAGTCAATATGTGTTACACCTGTTTTGGTTTGCTTCCTGTCTAAGTTTGGTGTGGATTTTTCTTTTGTTTGCCTCTTAGTGGGCAAATGTAGTGGGGTGCTCATGGTGGGTGTCTTTTAGGTCCCAGTTGTTGTTGCTATGCAACTTTCAGTGGAGACCCAATGAGTGTCTTTTAGAACCCCTCCTAAAACTCCACCTGTGACTCTTTGGTAGTTCCCCCTTCTGTTTGAGCGACATTTTTGGTTTTCTTGCTGGGTAACGTAACAAATAGTCCCAGTATATAAATCAAGATATGGTCACTATGCCAGTGACCAAAATTACATTATTGTGAATTGCGAAACAGGCCGTTCATAAATTCCGAGCATTATCATGTTCCTCAATTAATTCAGCACATTTTAGCAGTAGGCTGTCTCGACAGAGGCGCTCAGGACGCACAGAGTGTATCCCGGAAATAGCTTTGTCGAATCATAGCTCTCGTATGGGCAGCAAGTACGAAACAGTGCACAATCTTTTATAGCCTATGGTGTAGGGGTTTCCTGTAGGGTTTATTAACTGCATTCGGGGTGGCACGTGCAGTCAGGCAGTGTCAATTATGCGTGTGCTTTGAATTTATGGCGACTTTGTGTGAAGTTAATATGCTAGGCTAAAGGCTTCCATGCGACAACATGTTTGGATAATGTGCTATTACATTTTTGGTAAACTGCTGCTGTGTATTTTGTAGAATTGCATTAGTGTCAACATTGGGGGAAAATGTTGTAATGTCCCGTGTCTTGTCATTTGAGTTTTTTTCAGGAAATGTGAAGTGTTCCCGGGACAGTCCCTAGCGTGCATTCGCAACAATTAAAGCACAGTAATATATTTAAACTCAAAATATGCAATTCTGTTCTTTTGAAATGCATTTTCATTCATAATGTTCCTTAAGATCTGTCCTTAACAAATTAATAATGAATGATCTTTGACGGTTTGATAGATTTTAACCCTTGAATTGTGGCGTTTTAGTGGTTTTTCGTTTGTACATATACCCTACAGTTACATAAACTAATGAAATATAGACAGTGGAGCCATATTTTTTTCGGTCATTGATTAGTCTTTCTCGAGTTGGATTGTTCGAGTTCAGGGCTGGAGTTGATACAGTCCCCTCACCTTAGGCAAGCGAGATAATTGGCTGCCTGGCTCTGTGGTTGGGGATAATGGGACATTAGGCAAGCACACAGCAAAACGCGCTGACCGTCATCAACTCCCCCTCACCCACACCACACCGCCCCCACACCACCGCTTTAATACATCTGCATGAGTCACACTCGGAAATTACTTCTTTGCCAAAGGTACATTTTCACCAAGTTCCCTCTCTATGACACACTCTGAAAACACAGTTTTACCCCATATGGAAACATCATATTGGATATGCATGTGTGTGCATACAGTATATCAACAGGTTCATAAATGGTTGACAGCAAGCCCCACCTCACTATTCCGATAATAATGGATTGTATTTATATAGCCTAATGCTTTTCCAGGTTCTCCAAGTGGCAGCGCTTTACATTTGTATGGTGGGAAACTCACCTTGTCTAATGTGGATTTGTATTAGAATATACACATTTACTGTAAAGCACTCTGCTATTTAGCAAAACTGGTAGAAGCCAGATAAAGAGGGTTAGGGTTAGCTTGGGATTGAATGTTGGTCTATAATGAGGAGCCAGAGCATCTCCGGAGACCCATCGCTCATTCCTGAGGACAGGCCGAATATGCCCCTCTCTGTGTCCAGCCAGAAATGGCACATCAGCCATGTGGGAGAAAGGAACACAGTCTCTGTTTCAGCACAGGGGGTTAATGTGGTTTTCATAATGCTTTTATTGAGAAAGGGCCAAAGATATCCTCCGCTGCGCTGCTCTGACTTGTCTGTGTGCTCTCCGCCCAGCTGCAGATGTTGCCTTACAAACACACACCAACCCTGCTCTCAAGTCTTAGGACGCTTTCCCCGACGCTGCTGTCCCTGTGCCCAAATAGCAGTTATTGTAATGGGAATGAGGCGTAGTCTACCGCACAACTCACTAATGCCAAGTGCCTGCGGTTGTTGTTGCAGGGGGGCACATGTCCGAACTCCTAGCCTAGCGTGGCTAAATTAGGTTCTCTGTTAGGGGACAGGGCCGAGAGGAGAGTTCCGATAATAGCAGGGCTGATTGTGGTTTAATTGGGAGATAGAGAGGTCTGAGGGGCTGTGTGTGTGAGTCACAGAGGAAGTCCAGTCTGGCCCGTATACACACACACACATACACAGGGAGAGAGTGGGGCAGAGAGAGAGGGGGGCAGAGATTAGGAGCAGTGGTTTATGGGGCTGTTTGGGGCTGTCCAGACGTGCGGCCGTGAGACAATGAGTCATCAGGACATCCTGGCCCTCCCTCTCTCACCTCTCCCCCTCCTCACACACAGACACACAGCTCTTTTGCAACAGGCCAGGAACATCCCTGACTCCAGGTGGTGCTTCTCTTCTCTTTGCCCCGTTAGTCACTCTGGAATTGCCCATGGCCAGTCTGTCTTCATCATGGTGCTTCATCTGTTTCTGTCAGGTTATCATTCTAGGTTTGTAAGGCTGCTGATGTGACATTCCAACGTTGCCCCTATTATGCTGGTTTTGTGGAGTTTATATACACTGAGTATACAATACCTTAAGAACACTTGCTCTTTCCATGACAGGTGAATCCAGGTGAAAGCTATGATCCCTTTTTGATGTCACCTGTTAAATCCACTTCAATCAGTGTAGATGAAAGGGAGGAGACCAGTTAAAGAAAGATTTTTAAGCCTTGAGACAATTGAGACATGGATTGTGTTTGTGTGTCATTGAGGGTGAACGGGCAAGACAAGATTTAAGTGCCTATGAACGGGGTATGGTAGTAGGTGCCAGGCATAACGGTCTGTGTCAAGAACTGCAACGCTGCTGGGGTTTTTCACGCTCAACAGTTTCCCGTGTGTATCAAGAATGGTCCACCACCCAAAGGACATCCAGCCAACTTGACACAACTGTGGAAAGCATTGGAGTCAACATGGGCCAGCATCCCTGTGGAATGCTTTCGACACCTTGTAGAGTCCATACCCGGACGAATTGAGGCTGTTCTGAGTGCAACTCAATATTAGGAAGGTGTTCCAAATGTTTGGTATACTCA